GAAAAAGAAACACACGGTTACTTGCTGAACAATTTTGTTTTGGGGAGAAGCTGAAACTTCCTGGCCTCTATCCTATAAATACCATTCTAAGGGTTCCTCCCAACCAGTGGATCTTTGCAACCTCTCCCTTCAGGGAGAAAGCAAAACCATTTTTCCTACTAGGTTCCTCTACTTCTCCTGACTGACTGAGTACCTAACAACATCTTTACTCTCACTGTTCTTGCTTTTCCCACCCACAGATCTGGTGTCGAAATGCCTTGTGACCAATTATGGGGACAGAGCTGGTAGAAGATACATTATAGGACAACCTTTATTTTCTTGTCATGAGTGGAAAAATGAATGGTTATTTGAAGGACCTCCTTTTCCCAATTTCATCTGCCCGACCCACCAGATCAGGGAGGCAGGGTATGTTATGGGTCCCCCCCATTAAGGAGGTCTATCTAGTGGGACCAAGAAGAAGGGCCTTCTCCATGGTGGCTCCCTCCCTGGGGAACATCATCCCCATGGAGATAAGACTGGCCCCCATCTTGATACTCTTCTGAAGGGCCCTGAAGTGGGCCTTGGGAAAAGGTTAACGGAGGTTGATATGGAGCTCATCAAGTGGTTTGTCTGAATGTACTGTTGTCGCTGGGGTAGGCGGTGTCGTGCGTTTTGTGTTTGGGGTTTGATTTCTGTAAGCTGCCCGGAGTCACCATGAGTGAGCTGGGCAGCCATATAAATCGCTTAAATAAATAAATCCAAAATGAAGAAACTTCTGAGTTGAAAGTGTGGGCCAGCAGAACTATTTCAGCACCCAAAACCAGACAACCCATAGCTCAAAGCCGTGGAGACATTTCAGTTGAGCATCCTCTGCTAACTGATCCAAGGATGATTTTCAACATACGCGACTAGCTGTTTAACAATTAAAATGTAATTTAATGTAATGGAATTAGATCCATAAGACTCACCTTAGTCTCAATTAAATCAACGAAGAGACATGACTAAAATGTTTAACTGATTTCGGTGGGATTAAAGCATAATAAACATTCTTTAAATCAAAGACAATACAATTAAAATGTAGCTGTGTGTGTGAGGGGAAACAGACGTGTATTTCAAGCATTTTCCTGTTCAAAGAGCTAATATGCCAAACACCTCTGACCTCTGAAATGTGGCTTACACTGCTTTCTTCTCCTACAACTAGATAAAGTATGTGGTCTCTCCTTGTGACAAGGGGTGGACCACAGACCATAAAAACCTGACGCAAGGTTTGGTGAGGCTCTTAGTAGCTGAAGAATCAGACTTGATAAGACATTGGATCCTCTTTCTCCTCTGTAAGTTTTGACAGAGTTTGCCTTCTATGTGCTTTGGGAATAGGTGCACATGGAAGGGAATTGGTTCTCCATTGTAAGGACAGCCCATCCAACATTAGAAAATTCCTTGCGGATAATCTTGTCTTTACAGGAGACTTCTCCAGGTTGCCCTTCACCTCTGATTCTGGGAGTGGATCCTCCATCCAGAGAGGTGGACAAAGGGGATCGTCTGCTCATTACCTGCTCAGCTTTAACCAGATGAACAATAAGAAAAAGGTTTTGGTTCTGCAAGAATTGAGTTGAGATCAGCAGAGGGGAATCTTTGCAGAGCTCTAAAGAACCTCCATGACCAATCCAGTCACACTGGAGAATTTACTTGCAGGTATGAGGAAAAAGTCAATGACCACCTCGTTCTGGAGACAGAAGATGAATGTCACAGATGAGTCCTTTTGGGGAGGATAGTTTCATTCAAGGCACTGCTTGTCGAATTTTATGAGAAGAATAAACTTGGATGGGAGACCACCAGGAGACCCCAGGGCTGGAGGATAGATTAGGAAAGGCAAAACATCCTAAAGAAGGCAATGGCAAATTACTACCATACTGTTGCATTAAAAAATCATGGCTATATCTGTGATGTCACTAGGAGTTCATCTTGAAGACTTTACTATTTTTTGAAGACAGTTCTCTTTCCATAATCTCCCCATAGGGCAGGAAATGGATGGCCTTCCACAACTCCCAGCATTTCCACTCAATGTGGACATCCTTGTTTCTAGCCATTCTGAGTGATAATTATCATATTTCATTCTATGTTTCCTAATGTTAGTTATTTGGGACATCAAAGCACACTCCCACAATTTGGTTAGCTATTCTTCCAAAGAAAGAATCAAACATGTGTTCCAGTAGACGGCATATAGGAATCTATTAACATATATAAAGGCAATTCAGTATACTTTGAAGAAAAATGTGTGGTTTGATGAAGTTTAATAATGTATCAGATTGCAGCTTTCAAAACTCGGTCCATTCTTCTATTAACCATTTTCCAGAGTCATCGGGCTGTAATTTAAATCAATCCTATTGGTTTTCCAGCTGACTAAATGAAGACTCCCGGATTTAATGACTGGCTAGTTGTGCAGTTTAACCTTCCTCAGGCAGCTGCCCCAGACCTATAACTATTATTTATATATATATCTCTATCTCTCTATCAAACACTGTAACTCTCATTGATATATATATATACACACACACAAGGTGGCACCCAATTTTCCAAACTGCAGTATTTCAGTTAGACTAGAAAGCCGGTCTGTTGCCTTTATTTGTTTTTAAAGCCAGAACAGTTCCTTTTGCTCGTCTGCATCGTATTTAGCAATTCGGCTTGCAAACAGCAATCCAGCCATTCGGCACGAAAATAGACCAATGAGAGCGAACTCTCAATCGAACCAATGAGAAAGCAACTCCGGAGAGCGTTCAAACCAGCCGCGTCCAGCTATCCAATAGCAAGCGAACGCTTCGAACGCTCTGATTCGCGTTCAACTTTCCCGCCCAAACTGTACGGACCAATAGCAACCTGAGGTTTGGAGCCCTTCATCAGCATACGGCTTCTATAAAAAGGACCGGGAGAGTGAGGCTCGCCAGTTTTCTACCTGCTGAGATAACAGGCGAAAAAAAGAGAGAGCGCGAGAATGCCTGAGCCCGCGAAGTCCGCTCCCGTGCCCAAGAAGGGCTCGAAGAAGGCCATCACCAAGACGCAGAAGAAGGGCGACAAGAAGCGCAAGAAGAGCCGCAAGGAGAGCTACTCCATCTACGTCTACAAGGTGCTGAAGCAGGTGCACCCCGACACCGGCATCTCCTCCAAGGCCATGAGAATCATGAACCCCTTCGTCAACGACATCTCCGAGCGCATCGCCGGAGAGGCCTCCCGCCTGGCGCACTACAACAAGCGCTCCACCATCACCTCCCGCGAGATCCAGACGGCCGTGCGCCTGCTGCTGCCCGCCGAGCTGGCCCAGCACGCCGTCTCGGGGGGCACCAAGGCCGTCACCAAGTACACCAGCTCCAAGTAGACGGGAGGGGAGACTGCCGATCACCCAAAAGGCTCTTTTAAGAGCCGCTCACGTTTTCCTTGAAAAGCCTTAAGTCACTCTAGGAATGTTTCACAATTGTGTGAAAAAAGTGGTAATTCAGTGCGTAGCCATTGGAGGACTCCTAATTTGTTAAAGGAAACTATTAGAGTAGTTAAGTTTATAAACCAGCACAGTGGGGTGCGTTTCATTGTATGCCTGTATTTCTCCAAACAAGTTAATTACCCTGATTCTTCACTCTAATCCATATAGGGGATTCTAGATTGATCTTTCTAGGGCTCCATTTCCAAAGCACCCTACATGAAGTTGGCAAGCTGGGAATTCACCAATGCTTGCAGAACACCGAATCCACTTAAAGCTTAGTGTAATTTAAAAGATCCCAGTTTATGGTGTAATTGCAGCTGTTCTATTGCAAGAGGAGTTGTGATGTCAGTCAAATCTACAGTTAACTTTTTTTTTCTTCACCCCATAATAAGCCTCTGTTCTTCCAACGTGCAAGTATGCAAATGTTTCCTTTAGCTCTGACCTACCCACGGCTGGAAGCTGTACTTCCCTCTCATGGTTTGGCCTGGGCAATTTGAGAATGCATCCTCTAAGATTATACAATTGGATATTCCTAGTGAAGATTTTCTCTAATTTGGCTCAAAGGTTTTTTTTTTTGAAAACAGATTTGGCTGTTTTGTTTGTTTTAGGATCTGCAAGGGATTTCCTGAAACTTGTGTTATCACCTTGAAGAGCCTAATACAACAAAGTTTCAAGTTAGTATGCACGTATGCCTCTGAATATATTGGGGCTTGCTTCTGAATCAGCATTTCTAGGATGCTGTGAAATTTCTTTTGTGCTGAGATTATAACTGTTTAGGACATCCACACCAAGCTAGCTTCCCCCCCCCCAACCAAATTCTTGGTAATTATAGCTTTGTTGAACAACTATCCTCTACTTGAAAGTCATGCAGTGGGGTAACATATAGTTTCACTGTGGTTGCCTCAGCCTAAGCAAAACTGTTGTGTATGAGTGTTGTGTAAATGCAGACAAGGAACTGCTCACTTTTTTGTGATGTTCTGTCACAATGAATGAGCTTGAAGAGCTAAACAAACCGGATTTATTTTAGAACATGGATAGGAGACCACTAGGAAATGCCAGGGTTACAGGCTAGATTGGAAAAACATCTCAGAAATTAGTGGCAAACTGCTTTCACATTGGCCAAGAAGGTACTTAGGAGCTGAGCCAGGGAATATTTCCCTCCTTGTTCCATTATGACATTTTCAGTGATATTAATAAAGGCACTGAAGTAATGCAAATTGTGAATGTTTCCTATTTGTGCATTAACTGTGCTGCTGTCGTTTGATTTTAGCTCAACTTCCTACACAACTAGCCATGGTTTATAAACCACAGCTTGACATACATTTAGAACAAATAACCCTAATTTTTCGGAGCTCTATGTTGATTAGAAACACTGAGGTCTCTAGTCACGCCCTTCACTTTTTAAAGCATTTCGACTGTTGTGACGAGATTTTATGGGGAACAAAAAAAAGCGCGAAAAGCTGCCGGTTTAGTTTTCCCTCTGGTCCGAAAGGGAGGTATATTAACTGACTCGTCTTTTAAGTTAAACATAGCGGCTGTTTTGTGCTGATCTGAAGGATGTCGGGGCGAGGCAAAGGCGGGAAGGGCTTGGGGAAAGGAGGCGCCAAGAGGCACAGGAAGGTCCTCCGGGATAACATCCAGGGCATCACGAAGCCCGCCATTCGCCGACTGGCTCGGCGCGGGGGCGTCAAGCGCATTTCGGGGCTCATCTACGAGGAAACGCGAGGCGTCTTGAAGGTCTTCCTGGAAAACGTGATCCGGGACGCCGTGACTTACACGGAGCACGCGAAGAGGAAGACGGTCACGGCCATGGACGTGGTCTATGCCCTGAAGCGCCAAGGCAGGACTCTGTACGGGTTCGGCGGCTAACGTGGAGACAGGATGGATGAGAGGATAAACTGAACTGGCACCGAAAAGGCCCTTTTAAGGGCCGCTCCCATTTTCCGGAAAAGAGCTGTGTCTGTTGCAAGTGCAGGCTTTGGAGTGAGGAGGGGTTGCGCTAAACGCCGTTTTCCTTCCCCGCGTGAGTTAGGAAGTTTCCCCGCGAATTAGCAAAGGGGGCTACCAAAGGGAGCCAATGAAGCTAGAAACCCAATGAAGTGTCCGTTTTTGCTTTTACTGCCTCCCGTGATGGTTCATCAGTGCGTACCTCGGGCGACAAATTCGGGTATTTAATACTTCGTGGTGTTTCTACATTTCTTTTCTCGGGAATGGGCGCCTTTTCTACATCTATTCGGAGAGCTTGCAGCGGGGAGGGGATGTAGCTCAGTGGTAGAGCGCATGCTTTGCATGTATGAGGCCCCGGGTTCGATCCCCGGCATCTCCAGTCGTTTTGGTTTTCTCCGCGCGAGAGCCCGAGGCTGGGAAAAAAGGCGAAACCTTCTAGATAACCTGGACAATTAAGACAAGCCTACCCGCCCTCGTTGGCTAAGCTAAAGAAGGGCTCGGGGGCTTCCATTTTACTTCCCAGTTTATTCCTCTCAGCACGGGGGTTTCCTGGTACTTTGCGGACAGGACCCTTTTTCTTTCTGTTCTGGAAAGTTCACTTCCTGCTCCGTTCTCAACAATTAGGAGAAAGACGTGGAAATTCTCTACTTCAGGGTTCCTCAACCTGAGCGACTCTACTTAGATCAGTGATTGCAAGAAATACGAACCCGAAGTCAATTAGGCTTCCATCCTATTCTCAAGAGCGGGAAATGGTTTTACGATCTTGGAGGGTGGCTTCGGAGGTGTCTCCTCTTTCACAGGCACCCTCACCCGGGGGACCTGCAGAACATTTCCTCAGCAGTCGATGATCCTTTTTCTGTGTGTGCTTTCATTAATTCTTGGATAAAATAGGTGATTGTATCTTTCCACACAGTGGGACAGTATCAGTATTTGAACTCAGGTACACTGATGGAAGTCAGCTTGATAATTAGCAATGGAAACTACCCACCTCGCAGGGCTGTTGTGGAGAAAATAGGAGGGAGCGTGAGTCTGCTGCCTTCACTTGTGCAAAATAAAAGGCCAGATATAACCCTAATAATAAATAAATAAATACTGAGGGCTTTTGTACTTCCCCACGCTGCAAGATTCCCTTTACAGTGTGGCTGGCAGCGATCGTGAAAGTGGTCAGATAGGGCAGGGTGGCGGCTGTAACTGTGCAAACTCCTGCCCCTTTCTACCTACCTGCAAGGCACGTGAAAAGGCGCAGGGCTTTGGCTGCAGATGCAGCCAGCCACCATCTTGATCTTTGATCCAACCCCTGGCACAATCTTCCAGGGCCTGAGGGTGGTCTTCCCCTGCGTTCCTTGTCTGCTTCTCAAGAAAAGGCTGATCCAGGTTTAGCAGACTTAAGCAGAGACCCCAGGCTTCTGCAGCAGATGAACCCCCGAGAATCTCGTTGACTTGCTTCTCAAGAGCATCAGCTGGACCCTTGAAATGCCCCTCCCTCTCGTCTTTGGAGGTGCTCTGTTGGAATTAAAAGTGTTAGAATTATTTCCTACTGGTTCCTTTCTGAGCCGGGATCGAAGAGACAACAGGCAGTTGCATGAGGGCAAACCCCACACCCTTCTAGCACTGAAGATGTTACCCAGCCAGGTAATGAAACGTTTTCAAGAAAAGAACCAAGCTCAGAGAACCCCAAGGGCTCCACAGTTCAACCCAGAGCTCCACATATTTGCTTCTATTGGTAAGTTCTTTATTCTTCACCCAAAAGCCAAAGCAATGACAGCAAGCTGTTAGGTGGGGGGCCGCACTTGACCCCCTCCTCTTGGCACAATATATACATTTCATTCAGCTCCTCCTTTAGAATACCACCCCTTACTCAGTCGCCCATTTCCTACCTCAGTATCATTCTTCTTTCCTTCCCAGGCCCCTTGACCGTTAACCAAACATCTTTTCCCTAGGAAAAACTATCCTACAGGGACAGCTTCTCATCTATCAAGATTAATGAAAAAGGTCTCCAAGCTCACAAATTTGAAAAAGGAAACAGGATTCAGAAATCCTTAATGAAAGTCTAAATGTTTCAATACTAAATATAAGCGTATATATATATATATGTGTGTGTCAATACTAAATATGAAATATATGTGTATGTAATTATATAAAATCTTCTATCAGCTCCATCAAGTACAAAAGAATCTCTTAATTGTGAAGCTCCTCAAGTGACCGAAGACCCAGATGAGCCCATCTGCTTTCATGCATTTCTGTGACATTTCTCTGCCAAGGGGACAAACTTGGTTTTCCCTGTTCCCAGTTCTCCAGGCCAAGGCTCTGCAGGACACCAAACCCTGAACACCTTCATGCTCTTGTTCTGTTGCCTTGAAATTCAAGCACCTCTAGTTAACGTGGAGCTGAAGGAACCTATCCCTGAATTTGAGTGAGAAACACCCTTACCTTTACAAAAAGGCTTTTTCACCCCTACCCAACAATATCTATCACAAGTATTTCAGGTAAAGTGAAAAGTGTTTATTAAGGGGGTCAAGTATTTTTACGGGACATAGAAACAAACAATACATACCTTTGGTATATGTGATATGTCAGAAAGCAACTAATCAAACAAAAGACATTAACATGTGAGAATTGAACAATAGAAAGCAGTGATTTCATATAACATTCCACAAGTGGCAAATTTATGGGTTATGTCACTCCCTTTCTCAGCTGGGTTTGTATCTTTAAAACTTGCAGGTGTATTCAAGGACTTTTCAGAATACACTCTCTATTGTTCAGTTGCTGAAAAGGCAAGTTCTCAAATATACCAAAAGAAACGGCCTTGGCCCAGAAGAAACACATGCTTTCCTAAAAGAGACCTAGACTGCCATGTTAAAAATGCTAATATCACCTTTTTAAAATGCTAATAATGAAGCTTAAAATCCCAGCTAACAGTTCCTGCAAATGAATCCTGTTTCTTCTTTTTTCCTGCTGGGTTCCACCCTCATCCTACCCCAGTGCTTTTGGGAAGTCAGATCTCCAAGGCAGGGAGCGGCAGGTGGGGGCCTGCCTGACCCCAGGGGAAAGGGTGTTCAACAGGGTAGGGGCAGCCACAGAGAAGGCACACTGCCTAGGTCCTGCTAGATGACAACATTTAAGGAAAGGGACCTGCAGCGCACTCATTTATCAATTCAGTCACCAATGAAGTACATAAGAATCAAGCTGAAGGAAATTCCACAAAAAAATTGGGCAAAGAAAAGCGTGACTGAAACAGCACTTTTAAGTATGAGATCATAAGACATAAATTCTCTTTCCCTTTGAGAGTATTCTATTTCTCAAAAAAAAAAATATCTTGGCGCATATTTCAGGCATTCAACTAGTGACTGCACTTTTCTATTAGCCCTATCGTTTGTTGATTTCAAATTGGCAACGTTTATTGGATACCCATTTAAACTCCCAATAACAGCACGACTCTCCAGCACAACCAATAGGGACGCTACTTTCTTAGCCAATAGGAACCCAATATTTCAAAAACCGTCGCGCGTCTCATTCTTCCCACAGCCAATAGTCAAATAAACGTCCGAAGACTTCTATCTGCATAAATTTAAGCCTACGAAACTCTCGCGTTATTACTGCGATATCTGGACTGGTACTACAGGCGGTAAAGATGCCTGAGCCCGCAAATTGAGCCCGGTGCCCAAGAAGGGGTCGAAGGCCGGCACCAAAACGCGAAAGGGCGGCAAGTCCAAGAGGCTCTTTTAAGAGCCAATTTCTTTTGAAAGTGCTTTGTAACTCGGGAGCAGCTTCCCATTTTTATGTGGTGGAGAAAGCATGCATCATGTGACTTGCAGTTAGTTTCATGTAGGTTCCAGCACTTTTTGAGAATATTTGATGGCTCTTAAAAGAGCCTTTTTTTTCAAGAAAGGAGCCTGCTTATTAAGCTCTCTCCCCGCGGATGCGGCGCGCCAGCTGGATGTCCTTGGGCATGATGGTGACGCGCTTGGCGTGGATGGCGCACAGGTTGGTGTCCTCGAAGAGCCCCACCAGGTACGCCTCGCTCGCCTCCT